GGGGGCGGCGGGCGGCGGGGTGGTTTGGGCAAGATGACATCAGATAAGTACAGATGTGGTAAAAACTGTAAAGGATATGCACAGGGCGATAAAATTAAGATAATTGAGAGACCACACTAAGAATCTCTGAGGATATGATACTAGCTGCAATCTAATGGCTAAAAGTGATCCAGCCATATAAATAGCTGCAAGAAAAGTATTCCAGGCAAATGGAACAAAATATGCAGGGGCCTGGAGGTGAGGAAGTATTTATATATTTCAGAGATGGAAAGGAAGCCAGTCTGGTGAGAAGTGTGGACAAGAAGAGGCAGATGCGATTATCTTTGGCCATACTAGGCAGTAGGCACTCTGGATTGTATCCTAAAACTAAAGACATTCAGGCTAGATAGTGACATGATTTGTATTGTTAAAATACTATTTTGGGTACTATGTAAGAAATAAGATAGAGGAATAGAAGCAGGGAAGCCAGTAAGATTATTGCAGTAATCTCAGGCAAGAGATGATCATGGCTTAGAACTACAATTGTGGCAGGGAAGATAGAAAGGGATGATTTCAAAGTAAACAGAGGTAGAATGAATTAGGAATGACTAGGTTGAGTTTGGATACCCATTTTTTAACATTGTTGGTGTGTCTGAAACACCCAAATGTATATCAAGTTAGGCATTGGGACAGCGGAGCCTGGAAGTGGTCTAGGCTGAAGCATTCATTTGAAGCTAATGGAGATCTCCTGAGGGGAGTATATAGCTAACGAGAGTTTAATACTGTGATATCTCCACAAATCTAGAAGAGGGGAAGTCAGTGTCTAACTTGCATACTGGGTAGGTCGTAGTTGTTATCACCACTGTAATAAGAGAATCAGAAGAAGCAGCATATTTAGAGATCAAGATAAATTCAGTTTGGAGTTTTGGAGTTTCAGATGCTTATGAAACATCCAGGTGGACCATTTTTGCCAACTATTGGTTAGAGGAAAACCTTTCGAAGTTTTATTACACATTAGCTTACAGCTTAAGTCTTATCTAAATATAATATTAAATCAAGATGTCTAGAAGTTTTGTCCTTTGGAAAGTATTGCTGTTGTGTTCTTGGCATTGAGGTTGATGGAGAGTTTTGTCTTATTTTTAAACATGTAAGTGACACTTAATTTTTTCAGTATCACAAAATGAGATGGGTATTTTTTTACTAAAATAAAACTGTAATATGAAACAGCTTTCTCTGAGCATTCTGTACTATGAAGTTCTGATGTAGAGAATTTAGATTAATTAGATATCTAGAACAAATCCAGCTTTATTTCATGTACATAGGTACTTGAACAAGGTACTTCTCTTCCGTTTCTTATCTGTGAAGTGGAGGTAGTTTGTGAGTTTTAAGTGGAAGTATTTACGTGGTGGTTAGTGAGCAGTTTAATAAGTGTTAGTTTGTTTTTTTCTTAAATATTATTTGCCACATAATTTTAACCTGAGACCAGTTTCTTCCTCTTATTCATTGTTCTCCTATTCCAAATGATCTCAGGACACCACCTGATCAGTGAGTGCTTAGATGGACAAGTTTTGGTTATATTTTATCTCAAATAAAATATCAGGATATATATTACATTTATACAGTGTTTTCAAAATCAAATTCTGTTTTTGTTTTTTTTTAATAATACTCTGGGAGGCTCCGTTCTTTAATTCAGCTCTGTGTCACCATCATCTAGCATAGTGCCTGGCATTCATTGTTAGTTTAAGTGAATGCATATGATGTTTCTCCCCAATGAATTGAATGACTAAGAGTTCACTGGATAGAGGGATATATTTTTACATTGTAAAACTTATAATTTATAGATACATATTTATGTATGTTGCCAGTAATTAAATTGCACACATGTTCTAAGACACAGTGATATCCATAGTACCCTGTCTGGATGATGCTTGTCCTTGGAAAATGCCTAAGGGTGACTATTTTCCGGAAGATACTTAATTCAGTAGTTCAGCAAATACTGAGCTCCACTTACATTTGTTAAATGAATAAAAGGCTTTGTGCCAGGCATTGGTGATGCAGACATGAGGAGGTCAGGGTTCTACTCTCAAGAAGCTCATTGATTTACTAGAAACTCAGGTAAATGAATAACTATAATATGATGTATGAGCTATAATAGAGATATGTATAGAAAATGAGGCACAGTTCTTTTTAGGTAGGCCATGAAAGCACCCAGAGACGTTACACTTAAACTGTATTTACAGTAGAAGTCACAGACAGCTTATAGGTCAGATTTAGCCTTCAGTGACATTATCTTTGTGTGTGTGTGTGTTTGTGTGTGTGTGTTTAAAACATTAAATATTGAGAGAGTACACACAAATCTGGGTTTATGCTTTCTCTTAAAATTGTAGGTTCTGTCACATTGGGCACTCATTCTTCCATGGTAAAAATAGTCATGAACTAAGTAGCTCTTTCATTAGTCATTCATCTGGGGTTTGTCACTTTCAGCCTGTTTTCTTCTTTTATGTTACCTGCGTGGCCCTGTAAGCATTTTCTTTTGCAACCTCTGCTCTTATAGGATCAGTATAGGTTTTCTGGTTAGAGAAGAACAGGAAAGGATTTTCTAGGCAAAGGGAACTACAGAAACAGGCACAAAAATAATATGTAGATTATTCATCTATCAAGTTTTATATAGTAGAGAAATTTTTTAGGTAAATCTAGAAAACTATTCTGAGGCTCCAGTGTAATCTCTGTTATAGTAAGGACTTTGTGATTTACAGTGTAACAGTTGGGCGATCATCATGTATTTTTAAGAAAGTGTTTTGGAAAAAGAATTCTCCTGTCAAATATGTGAGATATTTCAAAGGAGTAACAAACATAAAGACAGGGATAGGAATTAAAAAGCTGTTGCACTAGCTTAGTGGACAAACAGTGGAGACACGGGAAGGTTTGAGGTAAAATCTAAAGCCCGTCAGGATGTATAAGGTAAGGGAGATGGAAGAGGCAAGATGACCTTTAGGTTCCTGTTAGATAAGTAGTTTTAGAAAACATGGTCTCCATTTTGGGCCCCCAAATTCTGATGCCCACTTTTCTCATGGAACTGTAAATCCAGCTCTCTCAGTGATATGGAGAAAAGATGTAGATTTGAAAGTTATCAGCACACAGATGGTAGTCAAAGGTATGAAAGTAGGTGAACCACCTATAACCCTAAAGAATACCAACATTTACTCTGGTGTTCTATGGGCAGTAAAACCAGAAAGGTAGAAAGCCAGCCAGGGAAGAATTGTGTAATGGTTGATGAGGAAGGTGGGGGTGGGCTTTGAAAAGCCTTCGGTAAATAAATAATGCAAACAAATTAAGTTCCATGACAGCCGAAAATGAAGCCTGAACTAGGACTGTGGCAGTGGAAGAGGAAAGAAGAGGTTTTTGGGAATAATTCAAGAAATATTGAATATTGAGAATGAATTAAAGTTATTATGCGTGGGACTATAAAGTAATGCATATTCAGTGAGATTTTTTTCCTTCTGGAAATACTAATTTTCTTTCATAATACGGATTTTTTTTTTTTTTTTTCCCATGTAAACCAGGTACCAGATGCAATAAAGAAATGTCAGCGGGCTGGAATTACTGTGCGGATGGTCACTGGTGATAATATTAATACTGCTCGGGCTATTGCTACCAAATGTGGTATTTTACATCCTGGGGAAGATTTCCTGTGCCTTGAAGGTAAAGATTTCAACAGGAGAATACGAAATGAAAAAGGAGAGGTAAGGGTTTTTTATTTTTTAAGTGATATATTTTTAATATATTAGAAATTTCATTCAACAAATATATATTGAATATTCACTGTGCATTAGGCATCACATATGAATAAATGCAGCCCACACTTCAAGAAGCAAAACACTAATATTTTAGAAAATAAAACATACAAGTGATAAATTTGTGAGCACTTATTTTTAAGTTTAGGCCAGTTTCAGAAGTATAGTATGTATAAGCAGGTGATGAGAGATGAGTTTGGAAAAGTTGATATGAAGCATATTTTAGGGGACCTCAAACTCTGAGCTTTTTATGCTAAGTTAAGGAGCTTCCATTTTCATAGGCTCTGATCTTATAAAGATACATATTGTAGTGGTTCCCAAACCTGAGTATGCATCAGGGTTACTCGAAGAGCTTTTTAAAACATAGGTAGGCCCCACCCCAGAGTATTTAATAAGATCAACGTGGAGCCTTGCTCAAGATTTGCATTTCTAACAAGTTCGCAGGAATTGCTGATGCTGCTGATCTGTTAACTACACTTTTGAGAACCACTGATGCTTTCGTGAGATAACTAATTTAGAATTATGAAACTAGGTTTGGGCACATTTTAACTTTGACAAAAATTTATAGATTGAGCAAGAGCGGATAGACAAGATTTGGCCAAAGCTTCGAGTACTTGCAAGATCATCTCCTACTGACAAACATACACTGGTTAAAGGTTAGTAAATTTTATAATTATTTCACAGTTTCTGAATACAGAAATATGTTCCGCTTCCTAAAATAGTAATAGATACTGAATGTTAGATTAAGCCATGGATATCATCTTTTACAGTAAAATTAAATACATTTTCTTTTGATACCTTGGATGAATATGTTAATCTTCAGTGGTTAAAACAGGATATTGTTCCTACTGTAACTTTAGTTTTCTGGAGTTGGTCCTTACCCAACATTTCAGCAGTGTTCATTCCTCTGTTTGTTTAATTATTTATTTTTAACCTTGAGTCTGTAAAACTGACTTGTCAGGTTATACTGCAGAATCACCTTATTAATTAAAGGGAATTTTTTATAGCACAAATATTTATGTTTCAGGTATAATTGACAGCACTGTCTCAGATCAGCGTCAGGTTGTAGCTGTAACGGGTGATGGTACAAATGATGGTCCAGCACTAAAGAAAGCTGACGTTGGATTTGCAATGGTAGGAACTTATCTACTCAAGTGTAATTTACTGGCTGGGTTTTTTGTTTGTTTGTTTTACTAAGTTGCTATTGATTTTAGACATTGTCCCTTAAGATTAGTTTGAGGAATAATGTATAAGATTAAATTGATTTATGTCTAGTTAGTTTATGCATTTATTTGATTCACTGAAATCTGCGGTAGAAGATGACTTCTTTTGAATAGTTATAATAAGATCATACATTTACCCATATTCTGTAAAATATATGTCTGTTATTTCATCTGAACCTTGCAACAATCCTTTTAAGAGACAGAACAGTTATATGTATTAAAGTTAAAAAAATAATTGAGAATCTTCCACTCAACTGAAAATGTCTCTTAAGAGTAACTGAATGTCATCATTTTGTATTTAATAGGTGGAATCTTTTCTGATTGAAAAAATATACTTTTTCCCCAAAAGTTCTCAACTTACATTTGATGTTTTAAATCAAATTTAAAATTAAAGCATTTCATTATTATTTTCTTATACGGTAGTCATAGTACTGATGAAGCATTTACTATAAAAGTGATATTATGAAATTCATATGCTACATAAGTGTTTAATAATTGAATTTAGATTTTTATATCTTTGATTCTATTCCAATTTTTCAGTGTTGGAATAAATCTTCAGTGCCACAGAAAATTTAATTTTAATTTAGTTTTATTTTATTTTTGGAAAATACAGGTCTATAATTGTAATTCTCAAATTCAAAAATCTGAAAGCCAGAATTTCTTTCCTAGATTTGCAGCTGACTTATTTGATTGCAAAACTTATCCTGAACTGATGTAAGGATGTTATTTGTCCCACTTAATATAAACATTCATAGCCATCATAGAGATATTAATGTGGTTTTATGGGGTGCTAACCTCCTCTGGGAGCATTTGTGATAGAAGTTATGTGCCTCATCTTTCTAAAATATGAGAAGCTGAATTCTGAAACAGTCTGGCCCCAGAAGTTCCAGATAGGAGAATATTTTTGCATACCAAAGTTTATTTGCATAGTTTGTCCTGGTATTTTGCTGCTGAAATAGGGGGTTAGCAAAACCACCACCCTGGGGGCAGCCCTTCAACAGGAGTGAGCGATATGGAAAAAGGAAATTACATAGATAAGGTGCTCTCAACCCTTGGCTGTGAACCCAAAGATCCCCACCCTACCCTATCCCAAACTTTATTATGTTTGGGAGCACATTGATATGAACTTCTGAAGACTCGTACAGACTAGCTGAAGGGTAAGGACTATTTAAGTGTTGTTCCTTTGGCTGTAGGCAAACAGGATCACTCACTGCTGCTCTTGAGCATTTAGCAGGATTCTTAAGTCTAGATAGCTGACTGGGCAGGCATTTTATAATGCATTTTAAAATTTAAAAAACTTCCTAAAATTTAAGTGTTTAATGCAGATGCTAAAGGCTTTAAATATATACAGGGTAAATACAGTAATGTAAACAAAAACACAGTACAGCAGCTGCTTTGTTTGTTTGATTTTTAAGCCCTGAAGGTTTTAGGCCTATTGTGCCACATTTTTTAATGGTTGCACATCAAAAAATCTAAATTTGTTTTTTAGATGTGGAGAAACAATAATTGCTTAGTGACTTGGATTTAAAAACAGTCTTGCTCAAGCTTGAATTTACTTTGATTGTGTATCTGTTCAGTTCTTCAATTTTATATTTTAAAATCGAAAGGCAAAATTATTTGTCTTGGGCTTTTATTAGATACAAACTGTTATTGATTAGTTCTTTCTAAACTTATTTTTCGGGCAGAAACAGCATTTTAGAACCCTATCTATCTTTCTGTTCTCTCTGTAGATAGATAAATGTAAAGATAGGTGTATATGTGAGTATATATGTATACACGCACTGGACATATATACACTATATATTTAGCAAATTCAACATTAAAATAAAATTTACAACAGATTTACAGAAGGACTTTAATGTGAGTACATTATTAACCTTGCAAAGAAGTCTGGCATTTTCCTTTATTTACTCATTTCTCTTGGAATTCCTTTAGATAGCAAGCCTCCATGGTACATTTAAAATAAATATAGTTGCATTATTTTTTTACTATATAGTAACCGCCCCCATCCGTGGTTTTGTTTCCTGTGGTTTCAGTTACCTAAGGTCAACCACGGTTCTAAAATATTAAAAGGAGAATTCCAGAAATAAACAATTCATAGTTTTAAATTGTATGCTGTTCTAGGTAGTATATTGAAATCTTGCACTGGCATGCCCCATCCAGTCTAGAATATGAGTCATCCCTTTGTCCAGGGTACCCACAGTGTATGCGCTATCCACCCATCAGTCTCTTGGTAGCCATCTAAATTACCATCTCCACTGTCATGGTATTGCAGTGCTTGTGTTCAAATAACCCTTATTTTATTTAATAATATCCCCAAAGTGTAAGAGTAGTGATGCTGGCAATACAGATATGGCAAAGAGGAGCTGTGAAGTCCTTCCTTTATGTAAGTGAAAAGATAGAAGTTCTTGACTTACTAAAGAAAAATATTGTATGCTGAGGTTGCCATATCATTTACCTCACTTTATCTCATCACATAGGCATTGTATCATCTCATATCATAAGAAGGGTGAATATAGTAAAATAAGATATTTTGAGAGTGAGCATATTCACATAACTTCTATTAAAGTATATTCTTATAATTTCTATTTTATTAGATGTTTGTTTGTTTGTTTGTTTGTTTTAACGCCTACAGTACCTGGTATTCCTAGATGGTCTCCCATCCAAGTATTAATCAGGCCTGACCCTGTTTTGCTTCCGAGATGAGACGAGATCAGGCATGTTCAGGGTGGCATGGCCATAGACTGTTAGATATTCTTAATTTTTTACTGGGCCTAATTTATAAATTAAACTTTGTCGTAGGTCTGTATGTATAGGAAATGGCACTATCTGCAATTTCAGGCTTTCACTGGGGTTTGAAACATGCCCCACAGATAAGGGGGGACTACTGTATTACACTGTTCTTACCAAAAAAATTTAGTTAACCACCTGTACAGATATTTCTGTCATCAGAGACTGAAGGCCATGATGTATTTCTATAACCAAATACATCTATGATAATAAAATTTTCCCCAAGGTAATTAAAATATTCTTCTTAAAGTTTGGATTAATAAAGGATTTACTTGTTTAATCTCTAAACATTAAGAAGCAATTTTCAGTATTCCAGTCCAGAAACATTAGAAGTGAGTCGTTGCTGCCTTCTAAAGGTTTAGCACACAAGGAAATAGATGAAAAGCATAGTGGCAGCCAGTGAAAGAGTAAATACAACACCATACTGAGTGCCTCAAGGGAGAAGTTATGGATTCTGCCAATGGCAACTGCGAAAGGTTTTCTGAAAGAAATGCTGTTTGAGCTGAGGGAGGGAGAAGAGCATGCAGAAAATTACAGCCAAGAAACCTTTAGTGAATTGCAGGTACAGGTATGTGCTGCTTAACGGGGATACATTCTGAGACGTGTCGTTAGGCCATTTTGTCATTGTACAAACATCATAGAGTACACTGACACAAACCTAAATCGTATAGCCTACTTTGCACCTAGAAGTCCTTAATAATGGCCCATTATTAAATAAAATAAGGGTTACCTTAACACAAGCACTGCGATACCATGATCTGGTAACTCACACGGCTACTAATATAGCCTGTTGCTCCTAGGCTACAAGCCTATACAGCATGTTACTGTACAAAACAACTTGAGATTAAATCAAGGACAATGGAAAATGATGCAGTCAAGATGCAGTAAACAAGATGTATGAGGCTGTTGCCGGCATAACAGCATACATAGTGTGATACAGCATACTTCTTTTTTAATGAGCATACTAAAATAACGATAAAAAGTCTAGTATAGTAAATACATAAACCAGTAGCATAGTCATTTGTTATCATTATCAAGTATTAATGGCCTGTACATAATTCTATGTGTTATAATTTTACGTAACTGAGTACGGGTTTACACCAGCATCACCACAAACACATGAGTAGTAATGCATGCACTATAATGTTACAACAATACAGCATCACTAGGCAATAGGAATTTTTCAACCCCATTAATAATCTTATTGGGACCACCATCATATATTCAGTCCTTCCTTGACTAAAACATCTTTATACAGCTTATGACTATAGTTTTAACATAAATAGAAGCGGGTGTGGTGTTGGTGGGTAAAGGGATGTGAAACTGGAAGGGTTGACAGGGGCCACCTGATAAGGGCCTAGAATACCAAGGTAAGTAATTTATTTTACCAGTAGATAAGCACTTCCCAAGCTGACTTCTGATAGAGTAAAATAAGTTTGAAGACGTTGCTTGTTAGCATACAGCTCCGGAGAAGCTCATAAAAAAGCTATTTACCTTTTTTTGATGGAAAGTTTCTTACGCTTGTTTGATTATGGAACTAGTTTTTCTTTGGACACAAGTTAACATTTTAAAGTTACTTTTTAAATTTTGGAGGATTTTTTTTTTAGTTTATTTTTCAATTATAGTTGACGTACAATATTATATTATTTTCAGGTGTACAGCAGTTATTAGACATTTATATACCTTACAACGTAGTCCCGCTGATCTAGTACCCATCTCACACCATACATAGTTATTACAATGTTATCGACTATATTTCCTATGTTATAATTTACATCCATCCCCATGACTATTTTAATAACTGGAAATTTTGAAGGATTTTGAACAGTGGAGTGATAAGATTTGCATTTGTAAAAGACAGGAGAATAATTAGAGGCAGAGAAACCTATTGGGCTTAGATGTGTTAAATACATTGCACATTAAAAGTAAAATATTCAGATTAGGAGCTAGAGACTAAAATTATAGATTAAAATTCTTCCTTAATGGAATATTTCAAGATAAGTTTGATTTGAACCTTGTTTTTGTGTTTATTAAAACAATATATGCATAGCATTTAAAAAGTTAAATAGTTCTATAAGACTTAATATCTAAGTCCCCTACTACATATCATTTCTTCCAACTCATTTTTTGACTAAAGGAAACCAACTATTTTAGCTGTTTGCCTCCGTATATCTAAATGATTATAGTGCTTTTTTTTTTTTAAATATAAGCATTTGCTGTTGACTTTTTATTAAGGACAATAAGGATTTAGCACTTCACATGCACATATACACAGGCGCACACACACTGTTTTCACCCCTGTATGCTTTCATGCATACTATCTATCCTATCATTCCTCCATCAGCATTTTATCATAATTTTGGATACCTCAATAAATAATCCTTATCAGGATTGTCAGTGCTGTTCCAGGCCGAGCCATGTGATCTGTAATTAATTTTATTTCCTTGCACAACTTTTTGTATTCCCTGTAGGTTGTCTTTTTCATTCACTTTCTTTTAAGTTTATTTATTTATTTTTGCTTAGTTTTTCTATATACTTAACAATAATTCATCACCAAATTCTCCTTTCATTGCATCAGAGACATCTGGCACTTTTACCAGTTTCACCTTCTTAGATATACCTACCTATCCCAGATCCTCTGACATGCTTTAATCTGAACCGTTTGCTAGGCCTGCTACACAGCTGGCTTGTTTTTCCCATTCCTGAGGATTTCCTTTACCTCTATCTTATATTGGGTCTTGTATTTCCTGGATTTGATGCCATTGCCTTTTTGTGTTTACTCCCTCATGTAGTAGGGCTATCTCCTCCAGTAGTTTCCTGAGAAAAAGGATTATGAGAGTTAAACTTTTCAATAACTTTTATAACCGAAATCTCCATTCTCTTGTCACTCTTGATTCTTAATCTGACTTGGTGTAAAAATCTAGCCTGAAAATCATTTTCATTTAGAATTCTGAATTTGTTCCTCTGCTGTTGTTTACATACCATTTTGAATTTTGAACCTCTTGGTTTTGTTTTGTTTTTTTCCTTTTTCCTTTCTAGGAGTATATACGTATTTGTTTTTAGTCCTCTGAATGCCATGATGATTTGTCTTAGAACAGCTTTTTACTATGAAAACTCATTTTCTTCAATTTTGTGAAATTTTCCTATACTAGTCCCATTTCCTCTCCACTGTTTCTTCTTTGTGAAATATCCCCCCTGATTTTGAACTTCTTGAACTTAAATTATCTTGTTTCTTTTTTCCTGTTTACCATACCTTTGTCATCTTGCTTTATTTTCAGGGCCATTTCCTCAACTCCTGTTGTTTTTCATTTCTCTGAGTCATATATTTAATTTCCAAGAGTTGTTTTTGGTTCTCTTGAGTTTTTGTTCTTATTTTAATATCCTGTTCTTATTTCATGGATGTACTTTTTACCTTTCTAAAGGTTTGATTTTTTTTTTTTTTTAAATGAGCTTTTGTCTCTGCAGAGTCTGTCTTCATTTTCCTTTTGGTTTAGTCTGTCTTTCAGGTTAGTGCTTTTCTCAGATGTCAGGTGATTCTTCATATTCTCTGCCTATTTGCTGATATGGAGCTGAAAAGCTAAAAAGCCTTGGGCCTATAGGTGGGGTTTGTCAACCAGAAGCTTCTCAGTAAAGTGATCTGCCTTGGCTGTGATACCTTGAATTGTAATATTTTTAGGTATTTCTCCTAAAAGATCAGATTTCCCAGAAAAGGACCTTTAATCTGCTGCCTAGAGAACAGTCCTCAATACTGGTATTCTGGGAAACAAGTAGGAAGAGAAAGAAAGGTCTCAACATTCATTAAACAGAGTTAACTAAACCTCTTTTTTTTTCCAATATAACACCCTTATACTCTGAGCAGTGCTCATATACCCTTCAATCTAGACATTCTCTGTCATACTCCCTCTAGTAAAATAGAAGGCAGTGTTCTGCCATGTCAGAGGGAGTGGGAGATTGCCTGGTTGAATGGATTTGAGAAGTTGCTCTGAGGATCTAAGCTGCCTTTTTGTTTTGTTATTACATATAACACACACAGAAGAGTGCCCGAGTAATAAGTACACAACAGAATGGATTATCACAAGCAAACAGACCTGTTCTATGTCAGATAAGAAATAGAATATTATCTACACCCCAGATGCCTGAGTCACCCTTCCTTCTAATTACTGCCCTGACTGCAAAGATAACCAGTATTCTGAAGATTACTTTTGTGTTTCATTCAGTTTTATTAATCCATAACTTATTAATCTATCTCATTCTACTGTTGACAGACATTGATGTTCTTAGTTTGGACCATCTAAGTACTTTTTCAGTGTCGTTGGTAGACTTTTGAGAAATCCTCCTGTTTTTATTCACACCTTCACCCCTACAGCCAGTGCTACACGGCACTGCCAAGTCCTGAGCCTTACATACATGAGTTCTGTAGTGCAAAAAAAGGCTACTTCTCCACTTTCCTTACTGTTGGGTTAGGATTCTGTTTCCTAGGGTTCGCCTTACTATTTTATTATCTACATTCCAGCCTTTTAAAATTTTCTTGCTGTGTCTCCTTTCCCACTAACTCTGTCTTTGAGTTTTCATTTTTTAATATATCTTTTTGTGTGCCTTTTGGAAGGAACTGGGGTAATGCCTTTGTCCAGTCCTCTTTTTTTTTTTTTTTTTTTAAACCTAATTTGAACTTTACTGTCAGTGCCTTAATCTTTTATGTTTGATTTCTCCTAAAGTTGAATGTTTTTCAAAAAGACAATATCTTAGGATAACTATATTACCTTCTTTATAGTCAATTTAAGTCAATTTTTAAGTATATTGGTAAATTTTTTGCTTATTACTTGATACTATCTGAATATTTAAAAGTTATATTTTAAACTTTTAGTCTAATTCACAGAATTTTTTTAATAGGGCATCGCTGGAACTGACGTAGCTAAAGAAGCATCCGATATCATTCTCACAGATGACAACTTTACAAGCATTGTTAAAGCAGTTATGTGGGGACGTAATGTCTATGACAGCATCTCAAAATTCCTTCAGTTCCAGCTTACCGTTAATGTAGTAGCAGTGATTGTTGCTTTCACGGGCGCCTGTATTACTCAAGTAGGTTGACAGTTTGTTCATTAAAACTTGTTGATTTTAAAGCAAATGTGTGTATAATATGTCTTTCTAAAATACTTAAATATTTAAGTAAGCTGAAGCTTAATATTTTAGGTTAACTAATATAAAAATACAATTCTGTCCTATTTTTTAAGTTTTTAAATACAAAAGGCTTCCTGAGAAGTACTGAGTCCCTGAATAGTTGTGAATGTCTATTAGGAAACCTGTCTTTTCTAGGATTCACCGCTTAAGGCTGTGCAGATGCTGTGGGTAAACCTCATAATGGATACACTCGCTTCCCTGGCTCTGGCAACCGAACCCCCCACTGAATCTCTCTTGCTTCGGAAACCTTATGGTAGAAATAAGCCTCTCATCTCGCGCACCATGATGAAGAATATTTTGGGTCATGCATTCTATCAACTTGTAGTAGTCTTTACACTCTTGTTTGCTGGTAAGAATTCAATGCCTGATAAAGCTTCAGTTGTTTCTGTTCCAAGTTAATGTCTCCGATATTTTAACGATACAGATTTTTCAAGAACATAAGTTGTTTCTTTCTAACTCCTTGTTTACCTTTAATTTCTCCTCTTTGTCAGTGGATACTTAGTAAATTTTGGGAAGCAGTGTGATAAATGGGGGCTGGGAGTAGTAAAAAGAAGCCTAATTTCTTGTCCTGATTTGATATGTGGTCTTAAGCATGTCACCATACTTTTGAGGACTTCAGTTTCCTCATCTGTAAAACGAGAGAAAATTAGGTCATCTTAGGTCCTCGCCAACTCTTTGTCCGCTATCATTTGGAATCAAATAAAGGTCTGGCTAGGTTTTGTTACTGCATACCTCCTTGAAGATGTTAAATTATTTTGTGCGATAATTACAAAATAGTAATTTCTCATTTTTTCAGGAGAAAAGTTTTTTGATATTGATAGTGGAAGAAACGCTCCTTTGCATGCTCCTCCTTCGGAACATTACACTATTGTTTTTAATACCTTTGTGCTGATGCAACTTTTCAACGAAATAAATGCCCGGAAAATTCATGGTGAAAGAAATGTGTTTGAAGGAATCTTTAATAATGCCATCTTCTGCACAATTGTTTTAGGCACTTTTGTGGTGCAGGTGGGTAATTGGAAAAGATTGTTTCAAATTTGATTATTATGTCAAATTATTATTTCTCCCATTATTATTATGGGAGATATTCGGTAAACAGGTGGCTTGTTCCAGAGATTACTTGACTGCAATGTGTGAGGCTTCCATGTATTTATTGCCTTGATGACATTTTTAAAAGTTTTAAATATCATAACTCAAGTGAAAATTTGCCCTATTCTGAAATTCATGTGAGAATATGTTAAGCTAACACTACTTTAATTGCAGTACAGGTTCTGAAGTTGTGATACTTCACACTCGGTCTGATTCTGATGGTTTCATTCTACCTTATTGTTATTAAAACTTATCATTTTGATATTTAAGGTAAATCTTACAGTTTGCCACTTTCTAGGGTAGCTAGAGTGATCTCTTAATTTCTTCTTGCAATTAATAGCAGTTGTATTTCTACAGTTGAGTTTATTAAATAATAGAAGGTTTTGAAATGTACATTTAAATTCCATGCGATTCTGAATGGCTGCATCCTGAGTTGGTACATGTCTGTTTTGTAATATTATAATATTTTGTAATAAAACAAGGCAGAAAAGGGAATGGAGAATGGAGTGTGAGGGGTGGGTTTGGGAATGAGTAGGAAGGACTGAAAATCTTCCCATCTTCCCATTATAGAGGTCATTCTAAGAACAAAACTAGGATCATTTTGCATGTGGTGATTTTATTTAACTATGTCTTATACTTATGTTTTTATATTATCTTGGATTCTGTGATCCTCTTCTGTGCAAATGATTCTATAATAGAATCTGGAATCAGAACAGGTAAATGAATGCTATAATCACACCAGGGAGTCAGTAAACAAAATAAAATTTTAAAGTAAAAAGTGAGCTTTTTCAGCAGTGAATTGGTGGTGGTGCTTGTTTCAAAATGAAGATCTAAGAATTTTAAACATTTAATCAGTCTATACCTGGTGCACTGTGGATACCGAAACTCAAAACCATAGACTTAATTATTTCTGTAAAAATGATTTCTCTTTTAGCTTTCAGTTTCTATAAATTTCAGGAGAAATGTTGCTTACTTGCTATATAGTTTCTGAAAGTATTTTTTTCAGATTTTATAAAAATCATTGTTGATGACATGCTAAAATGTTAGCTTTTACTTTGTACAAAATTAGCTTTGTTTTTAGTATATGGGGATTGCAAAATTTTAACTACCTATCTCTGTATCAGGCAAATCTGGTAACTTAGTTCCCAACAAAGCTTGATACACCTAACATTCTTCAATGCCTTATAAATAAGCCAGTGCAACTCAAAGCATGGTCTGGTCTGTGGACCAGCCACTAGTCCACAGTCACTTTGTTACAAGTGAACAGTGAGACAAGGAGCATGTGCCAGATTGTAAATCAGCAACTTCGCTAAATCACACTGTATGTTTCAGATTAGGGTTTTTCGTTGCTGGGTTTTTGTGGAGTTTTGTTTTTAGTAGTCTTAGCAGCAGCAGTACCGTGCAAACAGGGTATTGGTTTGCACTCCAGTACACGTTCCTTATCTCCTCTTGTCATGGATTAGTACTTTGAATAACACTTATAGAGAGTCAGCTGGGTAGGAAAACATGACCCTTGATTTACACATATCTCATTTTGTTTGTTTCTAAAAACAATCTAGCCAAAGTCTTGATTATAGACCTGAGGTACCTGAAGGGCTTCTTCTTATAAATTATATTAAATTTAACTTCTATCTCTTTTACTTAACTAGCTGATTCTTATTTTACCTTTTTTTTTTTTTTTGACATCATAAAGTACATAATTATTCTTAACTCTTTGTAAATATTTTTAGTTTTTCTACTTTGTAGCAATTAACACAGAATCAGTGTTTTCAAAATGTATTCCATAAAACCCTAGTCTTTTGAGTTGCTCTTACATCCTCAGTAAGTTTAGGAAATTGTCTATTCTACCCACTTCATGGAGGTTCTTCAAACCATATAACATAGTACTTAAGAGTATGAATTTAGGAGTCTTATCAGTCTTGGTGTCAAATCAAGGTGCTGCCTCAGTAGTTGTATGATCTGGACAAGCTCTAATTTCTTCATCTGTGAAATGGGGATGAAAATATTAGGTCACATCAGAAAATTACTGAAGCAGGGAGAGAGACTGCATGTGAAGTTCTGGGCTTAATGCCTGGAAGGAAATACTCAAATGTCAGCTGCTTTTTCTTTTCTTTTTCTAAATTAACAACTCAGTCTTTGGGAGATCTTTCAGTTTAGAAAACTGTTGAACTTTGTTAATCCCCTTCAAAATTTAGAAGACAACAGCTGATTCGAGGTTGCCTTACACACATTAAGGAAATGCTGTGACACACCTAAATACACAATTCTATAGTATCATGTTGATCTAAGCTGTATATTAAAGAATATGGAAACTTAGTTTCTTATTTTTAGAAATAAATTCCACAACTAGTTTTATTTCTTCCTACTCTAAAATGAAAGATTATTTCTTATGAAACTAAATCACCAATGATATTAGTCATGTTTGCTTCCGTGGCATCTTAATATCTTTTTCATATCTTTCATTGTACTAAAAGATAAAGATAAATTTTAAATTAAAAAAAAATTAAAAACACAAATGTTGAACTTTTTTCATGCTTTTTTTTTCTTTTGGTTTAAAAAGAATTATTCCAGTTTGATATATCTGCTAAAATCCAAGCGAGATTGCCAAATTGGTTATAATCAATAGGTTGGACTACTAAAAAAAAAAAAAAATTTTGGAGTCCATCTGTACAAGTGTACAAATTACCTTGACTTTGAAGGACAGTAGAATTGACAGATACCTATCACTTGAATTTGGAATAAAGTATAGCTACAAAGAATGGAATTTAAAAAGCAAAGTTTTAAAATGTTAATATCAAAATGATTTTTTTTAATTTCAATATTTGGCAGCTATTAACTGCCATATGAAAAAGAAGCCTATCAGACTCATAACAGGGTGAATATTGTTATTTAACTGTTAATAGTCTCATTTATCCTGTTTTTAGTTTCTTTAAACAGGGAAGCATTGGCACTGTATTATGAATTTTACTTATGCAGATCATTGGACTTCTCTCTTTATAAGGGAGAACAAATTTATGAGAGTATACCACCTGAGTTAGCACGCATTTCATAGAACTTTGCAGGTTGCTGTTCTTTTACAGTCCATTTATATTTGTCTTAACATTTAATTGTTAATTTGGAATGAATACTGTATAGAAGAAAAAAAGATTAAATATTGTGTCCACTTTTCTATAACATATAGTCTTCCACAAAAGTACTATCTTTTGTGGAAAGGCATAAATTATTTAAAAACTTAAACAGGAGAATGTAGTTACTTGAGATTATATTGGAAATAGTATAAAGTTACCTTATTGATCATGAGAATTTTTTTTTAATTTTTAGTATGCATAATTTAAACATGAAATATACCTGCATTTAAAATTTTGGATGGAGAGATTTTACTTTATTTCACTTGTCTTATTTTTAGCTGTGAATATTTATATATGCCACCATCAGAATAATGGTTGCACACCTTGAGTTTAGGAGGACACAAATTTGGGTAATTTTTGAAGCTCCTGAATTGGAAAATTTAAAAGATTTAAATAAATTTACTCTTGATTATTCTTCCAGATAATAATTGTGCAGTTTGGTGGAAAACCTTTCAGTTGTTCAGAACTATCAATAGAACAGTGGCTGTGGTCAATATTCCTGGGAATGGGAACGTTACTCTGGGGCCAGGTAAAAATATTACTTTTTGTTCAAAACCTTAAGTGACTTTTTTTTTTTTTTTTTTTTACTTTCTAGTACGTATTTTCTCTGACCATTTATGTTACTTGATTCTAAGTTGTTAACCATTCTAAGTCGAAAGGGCATGTAGGGATATAGTTTTTTTTTAACGTAATATTCTAATACCTAACTTGCTGTTAATTATGATTATGTCTATATAAAAAAACACTTTTAGTTTCTTATATAGTTTTTTAACTTGCTTTTTAGAACAAGTTTTAAAACAATATTAAGATAATGCATTCATAACTGGTTAGGATGCTAATGTCTATCTTTGGCTCTTTGACCTATTTCTGCATTTTTAGAATAAATATTTTTACAAAAATATAAAATACTACCTACTTTAGATTTCCTATCATTTTGTTACATAATTTAATCCAAAATGCAGCACAGGAAAAATCTTGAGTTTCAGTTCATGTAGAGAATATTTCCAAAAAAATTATGGTATCTGGAAAAAGGGGCCACAAAGTGACATTTTAGATTATTTGGATTGAATGGCTTTAACAGTGTATATATAAAATAAAATTCCAGAAAAAATGAGATGTACCTCATTTTTATTATAGGCAGCTGACTTGCAAATGCATGTTATTTTTAAAAAATAGGTGGTAATGGTATATGCATTATTCATTTTAAGTCCGTTACCATTTCTTTAAAACTGATAGAGAATCTATATTAACATTTTCATAAAGGAAGGTTAACATATGGTGTATAATTTCTGTGAGCTAATTTATTATCGTTCTACAAGTCAGTCAAACCAAACATGCAGGTTTTTCTTAAACATCTTTATGTGCCTTTTATCTCGCCTTTTTTTAAAATTGTGTTTTCAGGTTCTGAGGTTTCTCTTCTTACTTATTTTGAATACCTCGTTAATAGAGATCTTCTTTTAAGTAGGATTCATGCTTGGTCCACCTTTTTCATTACCATTCTGATTATTTCATTATATTATCTCATGGGCAGAACAGAATCCCACAATCTCCCCCAAAATCTGGCTCATTTCAGGAAAAGGAAATTCAGTACAGCGAACATACCCAACAGGCATCAGTTACCATCTTTGGTTAACATCGTCTATTGAATTCAAGTGCACCATTGTAGAAAGAACACTGATTTTGGTGGTCAGGAGATCTAAGGTCTTAGTCACTCCATAAACAAGTGTGTCTCTGAGCCTGTTTCACCTCTTGAAATGAGATAGTTGAACTGGAAGTTCTCCAAGCAGTTCTCATTCTGACTGTGTGCTTGTTTTTCCCTGATAAGCCCGACTTCCTTAAGGAATGGCTGTTAACATTTATAAGTTAGTACATATTCGTTGGCGTTTTTTGTATCCTTTATGTTTTCTAGGGCATCTGTTCCTATTTGATGTCATTATCAGTCAGTGTTCATCCAGTTTTAAATAGTTGCATTTTACAAAAATGAATACACTTAATAAACAAAGCACTATGTTCAGTTTAACCTTGAAGATTTTTGGAATTTTGGTATGTTGTTTCTCATTGGACTAATGAAATATGAACTTGTTTTACCTCCAATATGACCACCTGCCATTTTCATTTTATTTGAAATAAATATAATATTTATAATTTTATATATAATAAATATAATTAATAATTAAGTAAATATATATATATATCAGCATGGTTTTA